GCCAGTAAGACTAACACAGCCCTTCTACAATTGTGAGCCACTTTGCAGGATTTGGATAGATGTGCTAATTATATACAAGAAAAACACAGAAAGTCAACCTTATCTTCGGTTTTCTTGAACTACATCAATTCATAAAGATAAAGCCCATCCCCGAGATTGTATATTCTCTTCCATATTCATCCGCTCACTTTCTGTGTACCTGGTTCAACTCCTTACTCTCATTTCCATAAGACAAAAACACAGCCCTTATCATTCATCTGATCCAACCAAGTGCTGAAGGGAGGAACATTAATGATCAAAGCGTCAGAGAGTGGTGTCTAAAGGGGAGTCAGGCTCTGGGTGTGTTTCGCTTGGCTTCCTTCTTGGAAGAAAAGAGGGAGGAAAAGAGGGAAAAAGAGAGAAGAAGAAAAAAAAAGGAAGCAAAGAGGGAGGGAGCAAGAAAGAAACTGAAATGTTTTGAGAAAAAGCAGAAATTGCCCAATTTGGCCATAAGCCTCATCATTTCTCTAATGTCTTGCACTGACTCCATCATACCTTTTGATCATTTGCTTGGCACCTAAAGGCAATAATTCTCACATCCAGTCCAAACTTTTCATTTTACAGATGAGGAAATGGGAATCCAAGAACAGTTGCTTTCACTTGCCTAAGGTTACACAGATGGTTGTCAGCAAAGCAAAAGTTAGTTCAGTGACCTGGCTCCTAGTTCCACATCCTTCCTCTGACTCCACCACACTTTTGCCATAAGTTTATCTAAAGGCTGAAACACCAAAATGTTGAAAGGGTAAAACCAAAATGCAAAATGTATATACAAAATTATGAGTTCCTGTCATACAAGAAGTCTGTTTCATTTTTCCTTATACTCACCCAACCAAAGGTGGCTAGGAATTAGGCGAATAGGTGAGTCACGTATATAGGTGATGTTGATAAAACTGTTACCTATTCCCAATGCTGTAGCAAGAGATGAGACATGATTCCGCTATTAAGGCTAGGATACTGCATTTCTAGCAATTTTTCTCCTTTCACTCAAGTGTGCAGTACTTAAAATAGAGCCTGGATTGCCTGTGATTGTGGCTTTTTTCACCCTTTCTTGGCTCTGAAATAGTTTATTTCATACCTCTTGGCTTTATACAATGATGTATTGAATTTAGAGAAGGGGCATGTGCTATCTTGCCCACTTACAAATGTAGTTCTCGGCCATTCTGTGGGTGTTGAATTATAACTACCCATAGAGTAAATGAACACCTAACCATACTGCCAAGAGACCTCCCTAATCACTCCCTGTTCTAGATTAAATTCTGTGGTTCCCAGGATACCCAGTATATATCCACTTTTAACCACACTGAAACTTTCAGACCATTTACGATGTAGGAAATAATACAACAGATACGTGGGGGCAACAAAACCTTCCGGTTTTTCTGCCAGAACTCTCATTTTGAAGAAAAATCATTAAACGTCTCTAATTTCTTGTAAAGGGGCATAGGCGACCCAAAGCAAGAGATATCTTTAGAGAACTCAAAGAGCAAATCACTGAAAAGTGTTAAGGGAATGGATGAAAGGTGAACGTGGAGCTGCTCCAGGATCATCAGGGTCAAAATGAGGCAAGGATCTCATTTTAAAAGCAAGAAAGTAAATGCTGACTCAGTTTTCACATTACAACTTCAAATTCTTGATATACCATAATAGTACCAAAATCAAAGAAAAGAGGAAAAGAATCCTTTCTTTTTTTTTTTTTTTTTTTTTTTTTTTTTTTTTTGAGATAGAGTTTCACTCTTGTTGCCCAGGCTGGAGTGCAGTGGCACAACCTCCGCCCACCGCAACCTCCGCCTCCCAGGTTCAAGCGATTCTACTGCCTCAGCCTCCCGAATAGCTGGGACTACAGGCGCCCGCCACCACACCCGGCTAATTTTGCATTTTTAGTAGAGACAGGGTTTCTCCATATTGCTCAGGCTCGTCTCGAACTCCGGACATCAGGTGATCCACCCGCCTCAGCCTCCCAAAGTGCTGGGATTACAGGCGTGAGCCACCGCGCTCGACCTCATTTTAAAAACAAGAAAGTAAACGCTAACTCAGTTTTCACATTAGAACTTCAAATTATTGATATGCCATAATAGTACCAACATTAAAGAAATAAGGAAAAGATTTTTTAAAAATGGAAGTACGATCACGGAAAATAGGAAAAGCATTTTGCATTTTTATGCAGCTACTTCCTAGCTGAATATCAAATGAAGGGATATTAGTAGTGACTACATGTGCAGTTACTTACAAGCCAGAGGAATAACCGGTGAGGAAAGACCAGACTGTTTATTAGGTTTCCACCGATCATAAAAACTATGCAAGGCATTTTGGGGAAGTAATGGTGGGCACACAAAACCAAACCAACCAACAAAACCAAAACAAATTAAGGCATAGAACTTTAAACTGCATTTTATCTTACTACATAGTAATACAATTCTTAAATTATTAGGCACACTCAAAATAAGGAATTTCCACATAACTCCAGCATTGTTTATTAAGAAACAGAATATTTTACTTTAAAGGGAATTATCGGCCGGGCGCAGTGGCTCACGCCTGTAATCCCAGACTTTGGGAGGCTATAGTGGGCGGATCACTTGAGGTCAGGAGTTCCAGAGCAGCCTGACCAACATGGTGAAACCCAGTCTCTACTAAAAATACAAAAATTAGCCAGGCGTGGTGGCGCATGCCCGTAATCCCAGCTACTTGGGAGGCTGAGGCAGGAGAGTTGCTTGAACCCAGGAGGCAGAGGCTGCAGTGAGCCAAGATGGCACCACTGCACGCCAGTCTGGATGACAGAGCGAGACTCCATCTCTGAATAAATAAATAAATGACATTATACTACTCAAAACGGCAATTTATATTTGTGAAGAACTTCTGACTGTACTCAAGTTCAGGGTTAATTCTGCTTTGTTTCCTTCCAGAAGCTGTTATACAAGCTAACATACAAAAATAAAAGTGCTACTAAATAAATGATATGTCCTGAAAAGCCCATAAACATTTCAGGTTACATTTCTCGATTCACTGTTAAAATTATGACTATGTATTTTTTAAAAGTTGTTTAACTTTTTCTATCCCTTGTATTCGCTCCTGGTGAAACGTTTCCACTACCTTATATTGTTATCACACTAAATTTAAATTTTATTTCAAACTAATTTTAAAACGTATTATCCTTGAATGAAAACTCCTCATTCTGTAATTATTGAAAGCAGTACCACTAGTATTAAACATATTACTATAACATTAATTTAAAAGGAACCCCTTTACTGCGTTAAAATGCCTAATGTTAAATAGCCTCCAACAATTATATAAAGGCTTAAAATAAGGTCAAAGGAAGCGAAGCATCAGGAAAAACTTTCAATGAAAACAAAAAATGTTTGCCAATCTTAAAAATTAAAATTACTCATATCATTGTGCACAGTATTTTTCTTGCTTCCTAATGAAAAGTTACAAGTGTTTATTTTGTATCTAACAGCTCTTGAAACATCAGTAGCTTGAAGAAGGTGTTCATTAAAACCAATTTTTTTACTCCTGCAGTTTGAATACTGAGAATGTTGACAGTTTGTAACACAATTGACAGATGTAACAATGCATAGTAACCCTTATAAAATCTAGAGTCATGGAAAGATAAACTTTCTAATATTGAAAAACCTCCACTTTGCTCTAAGTAACAAGTATAAATAACAACTAACATTTAATGAGTGCTTGTCTAGTAAGCAGTGATGTTTAACCTTATTTTCTATCCTAGTAATCCATAATTTTTTGTTGTCTTTCTCCCCAAGTAATCTAGAAGCTCCATGGGGATAGGAACTTTGTCTTGTTCCTTACTGCCTGTCTAGCACCTGGTATGCTTAACACATAGTAGGAGGCACTGACACATAGTAGGCATATTATGCAGAACAACATATGCTTCATAACTTAGTATTCCAAATGTCCTAAACAGTCATGACTTAGAGGGTTATGAAAATGCAACAGAATAGAAAGCAGAGTTTATTACATTTAGTAGAATAAAAATTCTTCACTGAAACTTATAGTTTATATGTACACATATGTCCCACATAAAATTTATTTCTTACTATAGGTAAACATTTTAAGGAGTCTTAAAATCGCTGCTTTATGGGATTATTTCATTTGCTCCCCACAATAACCCTATGGACAATTCCATAACTTCCATTATAACAGAATTGAAATTTCTAGATGTCATATATATTGTCCAAGGTGACAGCGCCATTTAAAAGTACAGACATTAAGTCCAACAGAGCTTAAAAGAAAATAAATACAGACATTACTTGTACAGATACTTGCTCATAGGGTAATGTGGTAAGACAATCTGAATTAATAAGGTTTTGATAATAGTAATTATGGCTTGATTAGATAGGCTTTGAAGACAGACAAGCCTGATAATACCTGGCTCTGCAACTAACCAGCTGTGTGGGCCCTGGCCTGTAATTCAACCTCTCTGAGCTTCGATTTCCCCATGTGTAAAATATTCATACAACTGTTGTAAGCTGCAGATGATTTACTGTATGCAAATAGCCTAGACCAATTAAATGGGGGCTGTTGGGATTAAAATAATTATTAGTGTTTCCCCCCACGGATCCTATAAATCACATTCAATCCACTATGCCATAATTTAAATGTGTAAAAACTGTGCATCAGACTTTTATTGGATTAAACAACAAAGTATGGGAACTGGGCAAAAATGACATAGAGCTATCCAAGAGTCTCTGCTGTCGCTGGTTGAGAAGGATGCCAAGATCAAGGAGTTGATTCAAGTAACTAAGGGAATCTGAGGAAACATCGCTGCTTAACTGTAAAAACTAAATCAAACTACTTCATCCTCCTCAGAAGACCACAGCAAACATCCATCTTGCTCCTCTGTAGCCTGGATGGGGCAGACCCAGGTGTTAGGAGACGCACCTGGTCTGCTCCCGCCCACTAGGCCCTGGGCACCTCGGGGCTAGGGACAGAGGTTTGGAGCAACTCACCCCGGAGACTCCGTTGATACTGCCCCAGAATCTCCTCCAGGGTAGAGTTCTCCGGGGACTTCGCCATGCACACACTCTAGGCCCAGAGCTGGGAGTTACGTGGGGAAATGTCCAGCTTTCTCCCTTCCGAAAACAGCAGGCCTGTGGCCGCGGAGCGCCCGCCTGCTTCCTGCCGCGGCTGTCACAGGGGAGCCTAGAATCCCGCACGAAGCTCGTGGGGGCTCTTCCCACCCACTGGCCCTCGCGTTGGACCTCGGGAGTTGTAGTCCTCATGTTCAGCGCCTCCAAGCTCGACAATCCTGAGAGCCTTCCAGCTACACTACAATTCCCAGAGACCACTGCGCACCAGGCGCTAGCTCGGACGGTTGGGCTGCCAGAGCCTGTTGCCAAGAGACAGGCTTGCAGGCCCCGCCCTTTTCCTCCAGCCCAGCCTGGTTTAGTCCCGCCTCCATCCCACTCTTCTGCCGCCTGGACCACCCCAAATGACAGAAAGGGTTCACTGAAGGCCTTGACGCTTCGAAATTTGCTAATATGCAGCAGTTGATCCCTAGGTTACTCAAGGACGCAGAGAGGAACCTCTGAACCCTGCTTCGGTTGCGATATTTTTTTAAACGGTCGAATAAATCCTCAAGAAATAGAAGCTCTAAATCCTCCAAACAGCCTAGATTGTAAAGGCGGCCGACACTACAACTCCTAGCATGCCCAGTAACCGGACCTCCACTTGGAGTTGGCGCTCTGCCCGCTGGGAACTGTAGTCCTTGTTGGTTGCGGTCCCACCTAACTCCGAGGTCCTCTTCATTGTTCTAGCTGGTCTTTCGGGGCACGCCTGCGCAGTGGGCAAGCTGGAAAACCGTGTGGGTGAGACCCTCGCACAACCCCTTTTCATTGTCTGTGTCTGGCGCCTGCGCAGTAAGGAATCGTTGGAACTGGGCAGGAGGAGGGGATAGGGTCCGGCTCCTCGCCCTTTCCCGAGGCGCCTGCGCACTAGGCAGCCGCTCTTTGCCGTTACCGCTATGTGTGGGGCGTGTGTGGAATAACGTTATTGCCCAGCGGAGCTGAGGGCCCCGGAGCTCGACCGCAGCGGCAGCGACGACAACAGCAGCGGCGGCGACGACGACGAGGTGGGGGGAGGACGGCGTG